CTGTTTCTGATTATTTTTTCCCCTCGAAAATTCAGCTCATTCCGCTATTTGCGCGATCTTTTTGCTAACTGGAATGTTGCGCAGACTAGTCGGTATGCACCACCCTTCCCTTCAACCGTCCCATTCAATGATGATACGGCACTGGGCTCCGACAATTCTTGACGGATACGCCTTTTATGGCAGGCCTCAGAAACCTCGCCGAACTGATCACTTCTCAATGTCTTACACGGCTGCACGAATAAACCTAGGCATTGGCTAATGCTCTAACAGTTTATCTTTGAACAGATGACAGAGCAGGTAACTGGTAAGCATACTCTATTCTTATCACTTCCTGCGAAATGATGAACAATTGATGACGAGTCCGACGGGTTCGCCCGGTGAAGACTTAAATCAAATATATCCATTCATGTCAACTGATCTATGCTCGCGTCTTCTCAATTTATTGCGTTACTTTTACAGACGCATTCGCTGACATGATCCCAGACATTACATCCTCACAATGATCACGGTACGCTCATCGTCCACACTCCCTTCTGCAATGATGAAACGACACAAACAAAGACAAGCATATGTCCAAGCCCCGGCGACGACGAGAACAGTCACGTCTGATCCGCAGTCACAGCCTGCTTCTTGAATATCATGTCGATTAGAATCAGCAACTGATGGGTTGCATAGGATGTTGCCATAATTGCAAGCATGAACTGTAAAATATGGTATGTCAGTCCTTGTCTTTGCCCCTTTCCCTTATAAGATGAACATTCAATTTATCACGACGGTCTACCGAGCTACGGCAATGGTGATAACTGCCTGTGACAGGGCATGAGTCTGATCAGCACCTTTTACTCGATGATTCGCTTCGCAATCTTCAAACAGCAGATGCTTACTTTCTCAACAGAGCTTTATGTTTTCCGCAGTGATACCAGCACTTCTTGTGCCATATAGGCAACGATGCACAAATGTTGCGAACAGGTTTGGAAAAGATTCTATCATTCGTATTTCTTGTCCCATGCTCGGGTAGCCCATGAGTGGACCATTTCCACTGCTAGTCCTGCATATCAAATCGCTGATGTCTTACACGTCTGCTCAAGGCTGCGTTGACCTTTTTTTTTCTCCGATCTTTACAAGTAGCTCAATACAATCCAATCGTAATGTCTCCACGAATTCTTGCCGTCAGATGGATTTCCGCCTCCAGATCTAGCTTGATACCAATCAACAAAGCAGCATCCTTTTGCTTTCCGTTGTCGTCTACGGGTCCTTTGATGATGTTGCCTGCCGGGCGGTTGAGTGTGGCGGAGGACGGGACGGGTCCAACATTGGCAGAGACCTTGCGGCCGCCGGATGCTTGACCCTCGCTCTCAGAGTCGGAGCCGTAGCCGGTTGGGCGGATGGTGGATTCCCTGACGCTGGTTAGCACATGCGGAATACCCTGGTCAGAATGCAACTTACATGGTAGACATGTTGGGTCTGAAGTGTAGAGTTAGGGAGAGTGGTGTTGGTATTAAGGATTATGCAGGACTCTCAGGTTCGATGGGCTCCGGGCCGATTGTCGAATGAATGTAGAATGGGAGAAGGCGGTGCAGGTCAACTGTACTGGCCTTTAATGAGTGGCATATGTTTGCCTTATATACGGGTATGTACTGAGGCCGCTGACTACCACAAGCTGCTCTCCTATCTGCTGCTGCACCACTTTGGGTTGAGGCCCCGAAACCGCTTGTGCGGCACTCCCTGCGTTTGAGATGGGCTACTATCGTTCGAGTCTCGTACTAGCATGATTGCACAAACGAGTCTCTGCATCCAGACGCGAAGATCGACAGCGGTTCCATGAACAGTCTGGGTTCGTGTCATGCTATGGTTGTGGCGTATGTAAAGCTGAAACATACAAGGGGTTGTCAGGGTCCAACGTACGCGTCTCAGCCGGCACATTGTTATTCCTTATCAGACGAGCATCAGATCATGGTAGTCGCAAGGCAATATACGCTAAGCAGTAACAAGACCATGCTGAGCGCGGTTCACTAGCCATGGCGAATGTACCAGGCCCCCACGCTCTACTCCGCCCCAAACACTGCAGACTGGACGCACAACTTCCAATATGGTCCTTGGAATTCTCATAGCAACGATTACAGCCCCAGGCCTACTTGGCTCACAGGAAGCAATTCGTCAGTCCCAATCCAAGGAAAAGCGGGAAGAGCATCGCGCTCGTCGTTGCAATCTCATCGCAACATGCGTCAAGTCATCCAATCGCAGTCGAGAAATCAACGGGCGACAAGTCGTTCTGAGGAACGGAAAACTATGGATTGATACTGGAACCGAAGATGGAAGCCCGCTTGGACACCCATATGCCGGGTATTACTTGCCTTACCCGGACACAAAATACGAAGGTCTTGTCACGACCATCACTGATGTTGCTCCAATTATGAATTGGATCTATATTGACAAAGAGACTTGCGAGGTCAAGTATGGTGTACGCGCAGACGCACAACCTAATCTCACCGGGCCATTTGATTGTACACGACAAGACCGCCGGCTCACATTCGATGGGTGGGAAGGATGGTGTGCAGTAGAGCAAGCACCTGGTCTATGGGGATTGTACTTTGACCTTAACGACGATGGACTGAAATCAAAACTCGAGCCGGGAACAAGGGTGCTGGAGATTGAGTTGAGTCGAAAGGAAAAGCGGTTCCAAAAGGAGACGGATGCACGACAGCAAGACCAAACAACAACAAGAGCTGTTGATACAAAGGAAGAGGCGCCGATAGACCAGCCGCTTGCTCCAGAGCCATTGGTACCGAACCCCGGTGTGGCAGATGAGAAGAGATCGGAAGAGAGAGCTCAAGAATCGTACAATTACAGGCCGATGAAGATTCCAAAGTCGATATTTGAGAACCCGCCCCCTATGATAGAATCCTTGATATTCAGAGCACCCACACCGCCGCCAGCGTACACTCCAGCGACAAGAGAAGAGTCTGAGAACGCGGCAGAAACAAAGAAGCCCGAAATAGCAGAGAGTGAGGAGCCAATTGCTGGTCCCGCCATCAAAGTCCAAGATACCAATGTTCCAGATATTGACGATCAGCAAATTATGGGCCAGTCTGTTTCCGAGCCAAAAGAACCCCAATCGACACCAGATAACACAATTCAGATGCCTTCCATGGAAACAGAGTCTTCGCCCTCAGTGTCGCAGTCCCCGCCTACAAAAGAGAGTCGCACTACGCCGAAGCTTAATAGAAACAGCGGGTCACGAGCTTTGGCACAAGCCCTGAAATTTGAAGCCATGGCAGCAGCACAAAATTCAAAAGACGAAGTACGGGGACGTTCAAACGAACGTAGATCGCGAGTCAATAGCAACACGTCTTCCATGTACTCCAATGATGGCGAGGTATTGGAAGAGCCAGTAGCCTCCAGTGTACGACCTCAGCCATCTCCCACCCCAGCACCTCTGGCTCTGGCGGTATCGAAAATGAAGCAGGCAATGGCATTGGCAATGCGACCTCAACAACCAGCAGTAGAGAAGCCTGCACCGACTCCACCCATCGAACGGCCAATAACACCTCCACGCCAGCGGACACCGTCTGTACGGGAAGACCCGGCGGTATCTGGTCCCGTGAGAGCTTCTTCTTCACAGCGGCTCACAGCCTCAAGAACATCTCAAAACTCACAAAGCTCAGCGAAGAGGTCAACATCTCAAGCATCGAACCAGAGACCTCCCTCAGCCCGGCAGCAAAGAGAGCGCTCGTCTTCCGAGCAGCCTGTCTTGACTCGCCCATCACCTAGGCCGACAATGCAATCTGGTCCTGGGCCGGGTCGCCAATCACTCGCTCGAACGATGACAACTGGAAAGGGTAACCAGGGTATGAGCAATCGGATAGGTGGGGGGTACGTAGGCAGAGAAAAGAACCTGTCTGCTTCAGGGAGGCAGATTGCTCCTCCTGTTGCACCGAATCGATCGAGAGCTGCTACTGTTGGGAGAAAGACTACATCTGCGCTTTTTAGGGAGATTGACGACTTGGTCAGTCAGGAGGATAAGGAAAGTGCTAGTACAAATACAAGGGGGAGGGATGAGAAAAGGAAGTGAATGGGCATGTTGCGGAAAGTGCAGTTTAAGTGTTGTACTCTTAGATTCCATGGCGAAGTCTATTTATCTGACTATAGTCTCGGTACAAAGTTCGGTAGTTCGATTTTCTCCGAAAAGAATCTTGTGAGGGATATATGCGCGCCGAACTCAATGGTTGTGAAGAGCCTCCCTCTTTACTAATCAACGCGCACCTTTCCCTCAGCATCCCTCTACATACAGCGGATGGTCGCATATTTCCCGATCCCCTCAATGGAGAAAGACGTCATATATTAGTGTTCCTGTACTTTGCAGAATTGGGGCGATCGGCGGGTATGCCACGTACCCGATGCGCGATTTACGGGGAATATATTTGAGCGCACCTACACCGCGCGGTTTTCCATCGCTCTTCCGCCACCACGTTCATCCTACAACACCCAATTCGCCTCTCGAAGCACACATTACTTCTAGATTCGCCAACTGCTGCCACGGTCTCTGGAGCGGATCTTTCCGTCTACCCGACTGTTTACGCTGCAGCCCCGACTGCCGACCAAAAATGTGAAACTGACAAGGATGTCGCCATTGCTTCAGAACTTCCGGCACGTTTTAGGCCAATGTCGCGGATGAGGATGTATCATGCGAGTCCAAGAGTACGCTGCAGCATTTGTGGTCTGATAGAAAGATGATGGAATCAATAGGAGAGTCATGATAACTATGGTCGGTTGGACTAGTGGACTTTTGAGAAGGGCGTTGAACTGGACAGTTTGCTGGGTTGACAACTGGCTGGACCATTATACCAACTGGACCTTTTGATTAAACTTTGGAACTCTACCGGGCCTTCTGGAAAGCTTTTCTGGCACTTTTGACTTTTTTAAATATTTGTAATTTACACCTCAGGTTGCGACACACGCTTTCTTGCACAGCATTGTTGGCGTCTCACGAGCAGCACACTATGGACGCCTCGACACGGCTATACAAAAGACTGGGAGAGATACCCGAGGATCCTAATCACCCGGATAGTCTGGACGACCTTATTGTCTGCGCGTTTGGTGCGTTCGAGCGATACTATCTTTGTTGGAAAACAAAGGGGGGAGAGTACAAACAAGGTGGGTGTTACCAATATGGCGATGAGAAAGACCTCCGTACTCACACTAGCAAGACGGCTATGAACTTCCACCTGCATTGAAAGACTGGCTGTATCCGAGTGATGGTACGACACGCGATTTCGACTCCCTCCAAGTGGTTTTTGGTCGTGGTGAAGAGTACTTTGCGTCTGATAAGAATGGAAAGCTGGAATACAAAGAGCCGGAAGTTAGGAAACTAGCGCTAGCAGACGATGAAGAGAAGCATGATAAGCAAGCGCTGAGGAGGTCAAGAACGGTGTCGTTCTTGCGGCCATTGTCCGAAACAAGCGTGCGATCCGACAGTGTTATGAGCGAGACGAGGCGGAGTAACAGATCGAGTTCGATAAGTTCGCAGCGAACGAGCCGGCCGCCCAGTCTAACCTACACCAATTCAAGGACGAACTCGGAAATATCGTTACTAGGAGATACAATCATAGAGGGGCAAACTAGCCAGCCAGTGCGCCCTTCCTATCTTTCACAATGGAGTGCCATGGCTCCCAACGTCAAAGGAGAGGAACACGAGCTATCACCCAAGAACCGAACAGGTCAGCAACTTGAGTCGAATCTCGGAAAAGTGCAGGAACACACACGAACAGACTCCCTCGTCACACCTACAATGCCACCTCAACCGCAACCCACATCAACGACGAACACCAGATCACAACCGACTACAACTACCACACTAGCCCCCTCACACTGCACATGCGGCTGCCACCACTCCCAACCCGCCTCCTCACCCCCCAAACCCACCTACGCAAACGCAACAACGCAAACCTCGCCACCCCCCTCCCCCCACCGTAACCCCCCCAGCCTCACCATCGACCCCACACCACCCTACTGGCAAACGCAACCCGCCTACCCACCCGACGAATACTACTACGAAGAAGACGACTACGCCGCTCCCCCCGTCCTCATGGGCCGCATGTCGTCCTACTTCAACAAACCCGGGTACCAACTCGGCGATAGCCTGTTCAGTGGCTACCAGCCGATCAATTGGGGTCAACCCGTTACGAATGCCGTGGAGACGTATGTGTACCAGGATAGTTTTGGGGATGAGGCTTTGCGGTAGTCAGTGCCATGGGGGAAAGGGGGGGGAAGAGCGAGATGATGGAGCAAAGAAAATGGGATGGATGATATGGGGGGGATGTAGTAAGAGAGTGGCGATAGTGGTGGTGGTGGTGTATGTATGAGGTCGGTTTTTTTCTTTCTTTCTTTCTTTGAATACCCCCTAGGAAATGGTATGGGGAGGTCTTGTGTGTCTGTGTGTCTGTGTGTTGTTAAATGTAATATATTTGATTGTATGTTTCTTTTTTGTTTTGGACGTGTGCGAGGTTTAATAATGTGTGCGGAGATTTCGGGGGGGGGGGGAGAGGGCTTTTGTTTTGCGATTTCTCATCGTAACTTCAAGGGTAATATAATGGCATGGAGAATATGTACTTTTGCATATCCTACTAAACTATCAAGTCCTGTCTTTTTTTGTTTTTTTTCTTCTAATATATATTATACTCTGTCTACTTTTTTAGTTAATACATAATCATCTATACCACGCTTCCTTTCCGCTTTTTGTCTTTTTTGGGGGGGGGGGGTTTCAAAACGCAAAGAAAAAGTAATTTTCTTTCATCTGACCGTGATATTGGTACTTCCAGGTTCGTAAATGTGTTTGTTTGTTTGATATCTTGCACTTGAACAGTTTCTCTCGCCAGCCCTTCTACCCGCACTTATCCAGGCAAAGACGCAGGTTCCGGATGGCGGCATTTTTTTTTGGAATACTGGGTGTGGATGTTTTGTGGATCTGATATGCAAGTGCAGGCACAGGTATGCAGAGGATGATGAGGCTGGCATTTTCTTTTTTTTATTCCTGGTGTATTGTGGGGTAGAAAGGCGTGTGTAGGCGTATACACATGCCGGGGACTGTGGAGTCTGGGGAAAGTGATCATAATAAGCTTTGGAATTTTATTTTATTTTTCCGAGAAAGGACAAGCAGATATAGTGATACTTCTATTGCCTTTCATATTTGTTTTTATCATTGTAGTTTCTGTTAATTTTTTCCTCTCATAAAACTAAATCAAGAAAAAATTGCAATAGGAAGATAAAGGAAAGACGAAGAAGAAGGTCGCAATGGAGCCTTTGCCACAATGCCGGTCCTTATCTTGCTCTAACCTTGTTACCACCGCCTTGATACCGCACTAAACTCAAGATACCTCATCTCCGCATTCGCGACACCACCCAACCCCGTATCTATCCTCGCCGACGACTGATAAAATTGGAGATAAGTTCGCCCAGTATTGAACAATCCTAAGCCTTGCTTTCAACCTTGATTACTGCTACAATATATCACTACTCATTAGTATTTTTACTACTGGATATACCAAATTTAGTCTTTCGTAAAACTTAGGTGTTATAGTATATCTATTTCACCAGGTTATCTTCCTTGTTTAGAATGATACAGTAGTGGGGGTTGGTTACTGATGTTTGATGGTAAAAGTAGCGATGCGGTTGATCACTGGACTAAGGGACCGAGAGCGGAGATACTTTGTTTGTACACTACCCTATCTAAGCTTGCGGAGAGATGGGGGTATGGGTATACATGGATAGCTCAGTATCAGGCTTCACCGGAAACTATTGCACTTCACAAAGAAGGTTTTTATTCATTCTTTCATTCGTTCACATCCCGTAATGCATGCTTACTTTCCGAGGAGAAGGCGGCGACGGCGGCGGGGTCGGAGATAAACACGCGATACCCTGACACCGTGCGGAAATACGCGCTGACGAGTGACGATCAAGCCCTTGTGTCGGGAATGTCCGCGTGTGCCTGCCAGGGGTTTTTTTGCTCGGGGAGAGTGATGAGTAGTGAAAAGATATGGGGTGCATGTAGGAAGGAATCAAGGCAATGGCTGATGACGCAGGGTATTACCGGTGGGTTGGGTAATGTACATGCGTATACGAAGTATGTATGTATGTACCTGGATGTGACCTGAGGTGAACACACAACGTCACTGGTGGATGCAACTTTGTGCTGGAGAGAGGTGGAATGACAGCACGTGAGGCGATGTGAAAGGGGAATAAACAGAACCTGTCCGGTATGGTGATTAGTAAGTGTACCAGATTTGCTGACGCGGAAGGTTGCGTCTGTCAAGGCCGTGTGTCCTTGACATCGCGCCACCCCAGATGGCTACGGATCAGCCACACGAACGCATCGATAATGCCGATTCAAAGTCATAGTAGTCGATGGGGGTAGTCCCTGGCCATCGGGCGATACCAAGGTCGGAAACCTAAAAGGTAATAACAGGCCGAGCGGTACTGCCGAAAGAAAGCAGTAACGCGAACACTCTTTTTTCAATCAGCCAACCGCATAAAGCGCATTACAAGCAGAGAGTCGATGGCAAGCACAAATTGGCACAACCGAGTCAGCTGGCGCAGGCGCATTGCGTAGCCAGAGCCACCGCAACCCCCCACTCATTTTACACACCCTTTGACATCATGCCCGCCTCACTGGCGGCTGTATTACCGCTTCAGAAGTCGCGAGTGTGCACGTGTATGTATGTCTGTCGTGTTGCAACGATGATCCCGAAGCAAAGAAAAAAAAAGCCAAGTTTTTGGAAATCCAGGGACTCGTGATCGACTAAACCTAAGAGCATTTTTTGGCACGTAAAAGAGAGAGGTGCCGAGCAAGGGTCCGACCAGTAGCGGTTGGACAAGGGTGGGTAGGGGTCTGCGCAACACACACACACACACACACACACTTTGACTAAGACCGCGAGGCGGTGGACGATCGGATTTCCAGGTAATCTTTTTGGGTTGTGTTTGGAGGAGAATTAAATATGAGCTAGAGAGAACGGTTGGAACTAGGAGTATTCTCCGAGAACAATAGACAAACTCAAAGAGGAAAATGGGTGATGTGACAAGTTCAAGGGGCGAAGGTATGTATGTAGATGAAACAAGAAGGATAAGCTGAGGGTTGTTGAATAGTGACGGCGATTCTTGGGGGTTGTTGCTTTCTGTGTTCTGTGTGGACAGATGGGCAACGGGACGATGTCGGTACAATGATGGATGATGACGATGGGGTCAATGGCCGCTGCTACTACCTGTTCAGGCCACTGGTAAGCAAAACGGCAACTTGTAGCCTTTCCCTTTCCCTCGCCTCAATCCGCGAGGGCCGAGGGATGTCGACAGCCATGCAAACAAGCGTTTGGGATGCGCACTGTTTCGCAGACCCCCCCACAAAACAGGCAGTGTGCTGAGCGGGCGTGTCCGTCGTGGCTAGAGAATTGCTGTCCTTGTGGGCTCCTCTTTTGCATGAGTGATTTTCGCCATTGGAACGCTTGTACTTTGCCTTAAGGCGCGACTACCCACGCGGTTCGCTTCTCTCGCTTCATGGGGAACTACTCCTATACCAGGCACAACAAGGCCATTGCGTTTTTGTCATTCGCTGTTTGCGGTTCGCAGGAACCCTCTGGGCTGGTTCCTGTTCGAGTTGCGGCCAGAGACGATGATGCATGTAAGACGTTGACGACGGAGTGGCTCCAGGCAGTCGGTCCTTTGGCTCCGACGAAACAACAGCCTATGTCTGGGGGGAGGGGGAGGGGCCATGTGCAACATGATCCTCTGTGCCTTGTGGCTACTCATGCAGCGGGCGTCGGATGGTGAGTGAGCGCGTCAGTCGTGGGGTGGTGAGTGTGTGAGTGGGCTGTGCTGGTTGCCGTGATTGTGCCGCTCTGGCTACCTCGTCCTCGGATCTTTGCCAGCCGCGCTCAGCGAAGTCCTGTCGCCGTAAGCGGCTACCCTTCTGGCTGGCAGGACACCATCGCCCTACCCTCCATTCCGCCCTTGGAGCGCTGATTAGCCTTGACAGCCTAAGGAGCGGCCGTGGCACATGGTACTGCTCTTGACGGTGGTGGTGCTGCTGCTACTGCGGTTGAGTGTGCTGCATGTGTCCGTCCAACTATCACCTGCCTGCGACCTCTGCCAGCCGCGACGGGCCTTGTTTAGCGCACGCAGCTTGACCGATTCATCGATCCAGGTCAGCAAAAAAATCTCTGCGTATACTTGGCTTGCGTCTGTCCCGCGTTTGGCATGCAGGGCAGGTATTGGTAGAGAGGGGAAGACCGGCGAACCTCATAGCCGTGCAGCGACTAGGTGGCATACGCCCTGCAGCCCCCGACAATGTCACCCAGCCCCGTCTTTGCTCTAGAGCACCACTCTTTGGCAAACGTCTCCCGTCCATGACTTCACACACGAGGCAAGCGCGCGCGCACAACATCATGCATCGAGACTGTTATTGGACTATGCTCTATGTAAATTCTTCAAGGGCCCAGCGGTGCCTCGTCCAAGGGCCAGTGTCTATACTTTTGTAAAATGAAAATGCCACCAGCAACAGAAAAGAAAAAGAAACCAACAAATGCAGTAAAAAACCCCCCACCCGTCTTCCCCAGTGTATGTACCAATGCTTGCAATTGCATGCTTGTTCCATCACCAAGCTCCCACCAAAAAGGCAATGGCTTGAAGGTCATCGTCTATCAGCAATGTCGAACAAAGATCAAAGCACAGGGTTCGGCGTCAGGTCAGAAACTATACACAGGCGACCCATAAAGGGTCCAAAGAGCACGGCCACAAGGGCCAAAAAAAAGAAGGTAAGGATAGACATTGCCTAGGCCTTGGTATCATTGCGCACCAGCAGCGTCATTAGTCATGGCGTCATCAAAAGAAACAGTCAGCCAACGTGGGCTGACTGTTCCTTCGCAGGCGTCTAGAACCAATTGTTGTTGTTGTTATTGGCAAAAGAAGACAAGTCAACATTGTTGTTCATGGCACTGAATGCACCATTGCTCTGGTCTAGTTGCCACGGGTCTAGGGGAATCCCGTTTTGACAAAAGCTACCCATTTGCATTGCGCCAGCCTCGGCAAAGTCCGACGAAGCCGTGCTCGTCATCGTTGCGGGTGCAGCAGCAATGCTCTTGGTGTACATGGACTCAAACCCAAGCATGTTGGTCATTGAAGCCGAAGTAGCTGCTGCCATGGACACGGGTACGTTGACGGGTTCACTGGGCACCGAGGGGTTGAAGCGATACG